ATTGCTCCCACAGTTGATTTTTTCACACCAAGCTGCTTGCCTATTGTAGATTCACTCTTCCCAGTCTGGTGCAGGTCTACAATACTTTTCCTGGTGTCCTTCGAAAGCTCTTTGGTCTTGGCCATGGCGGAGTTTGGAGTCTGACTGTTTGAGGCTGTAGACAGGTGTCTTTTATACAGATGATGAGTTCAAACAGGTGCCATTCATACAGGTAACGGGTGGGGGACAGAAAAGCTTCTTACAGAAGACGTTACAGGTCTGTGAGAGCCAGAGATTTTCCTTGTTTGAGGTGACCAAATACTTATTTTCCACCCTAATTTACGAATCAATTCTTTACAAATCCTACCATGTGAATTCATGGATTTTTTTTTCACATTCTGTCTCTCACAGTTGAAGTGTACCTCTGGTGCAAATTACTGACCTCTGTCATCATTTTAAGTGGGGGAACTTGCACAATTGGTGGCTGACTAAATACTTTTTTGCCCCACTGTATATATACACACATATATATATATATATCATGAAGGTGCACTGCCAATGTTTTGCCAACAGTGATTAGTGTAAGTGATGCATTTGTCCTCTGCATAACTATACAAGTAAGCAGGACGGAAGCAGATAACTGTTACAATGTTTGCATTTTAAGACACCTTTTTTAGCATAAACTGAAGAATAGGATATCATATACTGGGTTGGACTACTGGACCAATATATATGGCTATTAGTGATCAGCTAGTTGTTGATATGATTGTTTTTGTGAGAAGGAATTTCATTATTTTTGTTGCTGTCCACTTTGTCCTCAAGTCCACTGCTGGGTCGGACCGCATGGTTGAGCGAGAGCTGTGATTTGTACACATCTTGTATGCAGTGGCTTGGAAACCTGCCACTGTGTGGTTGAAGTTAAGTACTGTTGTAGCATCAAAGTGTAAGTCTCACCAGAACGTCTGCTAATCCAGAGACCATGCTAGGTCTACCAGTGGTGTGCTGCTTTGTGTTTTTGATTTCTTTAATCACAATCATGTTATCCTAATAATTTATCCTAATAATTTATTAGGGTGCTTTAACGCTGTTGATTTAGAGACTGCAAGCGCTGCATTTGTTATCTGATTGCATCATTCATATCCTTTGGTTTTTGTCCAGTTTAAAACTAAATATATCCCACCTAGGTGATATTTAGCAAGTGGGCGTATGCAGTTCATCTCCTCACACATAGCTCTTTGGATATTATATCAGCAATCGCTAGTATAGTGCTGCTAAATTACCAGTAATCATCATGGCTGGATGGACCATTTTAGCACATTTCCCAACCCATATACTCGTGCAAACAAACTAAAACACTGACCCTACAGTTAAATAGAAAGCAAGTCGTCTGTACTCAACAGCACTCTATTGACTCACTACACATTTCTCGACATTATAAGGCTGGGACAAGCTTTACAAGCAAAGACTTTTAGAATGTCATAAGCTTATGTCTGGGTTTGTGTGCTAAAAAACAAACAAACAGGTGTGTGCTGGTCAGATCGATAACTGTAACAGAATATCTGGACTTGAGGCCATTCACCAGTATACAGTATGTGCGGACAGACTGCTTGTGTGCTTTTGTGCAACACAGTAGGCAGAGTTGGTAGCGTACTGATTCTAGCTGATACCTCGGGCTCTCCCATCGATCAGCCAAATGTCTTCAGCACACTGCTGACTCCGAGCCGTGGTCTTATTTCCTGTCCCCATAGAATGGGAGCATTATCTGAATTAGTCAGGATTGCAAGTGAAGAGAGTGTATCAATATTTTTGCAATGGTTATGTCAAGACTGACTATACAGCAATTATATGAAGAGATCTACTTCAAGCGCCAGTCTCATCTTCTTTTCTTGACTTCTCTCTTGCGTCATCTCATTGCAGCAGGTCGTTCATGACTCAACGAGTGTCTCCCAGACGTTTGCGTTAGTTTGAGCAGCAATTAAACATGAGTGCTGAAAACGATGACTGCAGAAAACCAGAATGGGCATCTAAAGCTTTTCAAGAATTTGCACTTAAAGGAATTCAAATTAATTCATCATTAATTGGTAGTTTTTGCACTCACTGCCATTAAAAAACACCAAACCCAACACTTGCAACCATGTTTAACACACTGAAATCCACACTATCTGATATCATGACCACTCACTCGCATTGTTCTCTCTTAAGTCACTGTCTCACTCTAACACCACCCTACACGCACAGAGGGGAACCTAAAAGTAGTAACCATGGCAATATTCAACACTGCCCACCGGGTCCACTGACAAAAACTATTAAACAACACACAATGTATATGGTTTAAGCTCACAGAAACATGTAACTGTAGCATTCCTGCCCCCCCTTTGGTCAGAGGTGGGAGGATAGCCACTAAAACACCCCCCACCCCCTGGGGCTGTGGAGCTGGGTGACTCAGACATTTGCAAACTCTGACAAAACATGTTCATATATACAGCTGGTAGATGACATTATCCCTCTGTTACTAAGGAGATGAAACCTTCTGGAAATACAGTAGCTACAGTGTCTGAGGCACTTGGGCAGCACTTCTACCAGCAGCATCACAACAACTTGTAAAAATTTGGAAAAAAACAAAAAAGTAATCTGTGTGGAAACAGTGCTCAAATATAGTGATGTAGTGTCACGGTGCTATGGTCAACTTATTTGGTTAGTATGCTATGATCCAACAAAATTCTAATTGGTGTGACAATTGGAAAACGAGGTAGCCCTACACCAACAGCCTCCAAAGAATAATCCATTATTTTTAGCAGCGGGTAGAACGTGTGGTTACATTGTAACCTGGGTTTTCTGAGTGAGAGACCATCTCTTAAGATAGAACTTTATTAATCCCTCGGGTGGGTTCCTCTGGGAAATTCGACTTCCAAAAAGCACAGCAACGACCGAAGTTACAGTTACAGAATTGTTATATATATATATATATATATATATATACACACACACACACACACACACACACACACACACACACACACACACATACATAAAGAATATGTAATGGTGGATTACTGGACTTTCACTCAGAGCTCCAAACACAGTTTTCAGGTATGTAAAGAATATGTACGTAAACCTACATTCTTTAAAATGGTCAGCAGGGGGCAACCCATCTTGCTCTATAACCGTAAGCCAGTCACAATTAGGCAATGAGTGTCTGGTTTCACAGTCATTTCCAATTTTTTCTTGCCTAGTCGGACTTCAAAACACCAAGATGGAAAAAAAAAAAAGCGTGATCGCACGGTGGCTACATCCAATCATAATGCATATGCTCAAAATTAATTTACACCATGTCAAAATCTCCAGTGAGGCTGTATTTTGTTAAACCAGATGGGCGAAAATTTTAGTAAACATAATAAAAATCTTACTGCTCAACTCCCGACAAGGTATAGCTTCCAGAAATAGTAAACCAACATACATCTTTTGGGATATTTTGCCAATCTCATAATTGGCCACCACCAATACACTGGATGTTGTGCCGGTATGATTTTAGTCAACCGTCTTTGGTTGATCACAGTCTGAGTAAAATGTAGCAAGTTGAAATTCCAATAAAAATCAATAACTGAACAAAATTTGAACTTTATTACTCAGCAAATTACTGTAAATAATTATTAAGATTGTTAACACTTTTAACACTGCTTCTTCGGAAAATTTCAACTTATTGTAATGTGACCCAAGGTACACGTTCTGTGGGTAGGGTGTTCCAGTCTATCACAGGATCAACACAGCGACAGACACTCTGACAGCCACACCTCTTTTTTGTGTTTGTTTGGAAAAGCCACAACAATGCTCTGACTATGAAGAGTTACACAACAGCATTTTCAAAAGTGGCTTCACTTCGCTTCATCCTCGGTGTTGAACCTGTTTTTTTAGTTTCTGGAAGAACTTCTCCTTTTCAAAGAACATTTCCGTTAAACATCTGAATAATTGCGGATTTACATATTTCATATATGCAAACTACACAAACCTCATTTTATCAGAGGAAAATCTTGAACCTCCAACACCAACAGATGCTGCACCAGTGATGACATTCATCTGCACCAGAGCTTTACCGCTTGTATCAGGCTGTCCTAGTCTAAACATTTACGGATCTATCAAGTCATGACAGAGGACATCGCTGACAGTGTCTATTTCATTTGACGGCCGTCTCTGCCTGCCTCACACTGGGGCTCTGGAGAGCATGTGTCTGACCCGTGAGGCACACAGCCCGTTGGGTGAAATGTCTAAGATGTCTGGATCTAAATGTTTATGAGCAGACTGAAATGACAAAAACTGCTTTAGCTGTGCCACAATAATGTCCTCGTTTGACAGGTGACCGGGCAGCAGCAACTGTCAGCTGTCACAAACTGCGATAACAACACCAAACAACCGGGCAGACAGCGAGGCAGCAGGAAAATCCCAATATAATAAGCAATAACACCTTCTAAGGTGTTACTGCCTAATATATCTTTGGTATCAAATAACACGTTTATACTTCAAGCTTCTGAGCGGTTGTCCCGTTTTCTCTGGTATTACCATGTTATGTCGATATACGGAGTCAGGTTGGTTTCGTACGTGGCTTGTCACACTTAATAGGCTCTATAAATTTAGCTAATACTGCAAAGTTAGCACATCTTCATAAATGACTCTTTGCTAACCACAGCGAGGTTGCCATATTTCATTAACTTAATCTCTAACAGCCCCGTGTTTGCGTTGTCCTTTTTCATTAGCAGTCATAACTAGTTTTGACACTAAGTGACGCAAAAGTGAATGATTTCGCTAACACAAAGTAAATGTAATTTCTTCACGCCATAAACTGAAGAGCAGATGCGACGTTTTCCTTGCAGGTGCTGTAAAATGCGCCGAACTGAAACTAAACGCAAACTTGCTCGGAGTTGAAGCCCAGGTGACTTCCAGCTCGGTGTTTTTTTTCTCCCTCGTCTCCCTGTCAGACTTAAAACCAGGTAAAACACACACACACACACACACACACATTCCCCTACCTGCAGGACACCGTGATTTCAACTTTGGTGGCAGGAACAGAAGGGTTGAGCGGGTCGAAATCTACTATCGACGCCATGCTTAGGAAACTGTTGTTCATCCTGTCAATGTTTTTCCTCCTTTTCCCCTTTTACTGCGGTCCTGCCCCTTTTTACGAGCGCTGAAGGAGGATAGCGAGAAACTGTGTTTGCGCCTCCTCGGCGAGAACTGGAGCAAAGGTGCCAGAGAGAGAGGGGCTGGAAGATGTGATGTCACACTACTCTCGCCTCTCTGTGTGTATTCCTCTCTTTCTATCGCCCTTCCCTCTTTTTCTTTTATTTTCATTCTGCCACACGCTTCCCGTCGGTGTCTTTCTGTCTGTGTCTCACTCCTGTTCAGTTCTGCTGACTTCTGTTTAGGTCATTGAATTTCCTCACATTTACAGCCATGGAAGTGCTGACAATGATACAATCGCCAATTACGCAAAACAATAAATGTGTCATGAAAAGTATTTCCTGTGCATGTGTGTGTATGTGCACACACGCACACACACACATATTTCTCCTGCCCCTGTCTCAATACTCTTATTCACTCTACTTGAATTCAGTTTAATTCAGTTCAGTTCAATGTAGGCTTTTGGCTGAAACACCCCTAGCCACGTCTTCCATGGCCGCATTAACCTCTTAAGGGGCCTAGGGCAACAACATCCCCACTTCACCATCACCCATCAGCCCTAGGTCATGTCATTAATATCGTTTAGCTCAGGCTTGTGAAAAGGCTTGTCCATACATGAATTCTTCTCACAAGATAAAAATATCACTTAACTTCTTCTTCCCCCTTTTTTTTTAAATATATATACATACCGGGTGAGGCTGTTACCTACAAATGGGGTTGGCATCTTTTACTACAGTCACACAGTGGTTGGAGACTTTGGCACCACCTGAAAAAGAAGGGGACTAGATCTGCAACCACTTGCAGTCAGCTGCCATCTTCAAATCAGCTCTGGTGCACTAAGATGGCAGTAAAATGATAACAAGACAGACCAGTCTGCTTACCAGTTACCAGACTGAAGGGGGTCAAAGTGTCAATACATGCAATCTGTTCATGATAATATGGCAATTAACTGTGATAAATTGTCAGAAATAACAAATCTGTTGTTGGCTGTTGCAAATCTGTTACCATCTACACAAACAGAAATTCACAATCGATCCATCCTCTGCTGCTTATCCATATCAGGGTCACGAAATTCAAATTAAACAGAAATCCATATTAAGTACTTATATTCAGAATTCAGCTACAATCTCAAAGAAATACACATTCAGAAATTCTGGCACAAATACTGGCAGAGTTGCTGATTGCAACTAGATGATTGTAGAAGACCCAGAACTCCAGGCACCAATTGCATCTATAATGACATAAGCACTGGGCAACCTTGCTTTTATATACACTATAATGCCAAAAGAACTGATTCAACCATCTAAATCACTGAGTTCAGATATTTCAATCACTTTCATGGCTGCAGATATATAAAATCAAGACTGCTTCTACAAACATTTGTGAAAGAATGGGTCACAATCAGAAGTTCAGTGAATTCCAGCTTTGTACAGCATGGACTGTACAACAAGTCCAGTCAATAAATGTCCTTGCATTTAACTATTAGTATTATAACAAAGTGGAAGCAATGGGGAGCGAGAGAAGCTCAGTGACAAAGTGGGAGGCCACATAAAATCCCTAATAGTATACGTAGGTCACCAACTTTCCGCAGAGACCTCCAAACTTCATGTGGCCTTCAGATTAGCTTATCAATAGTCCCCAGAGATATTCATGGAATGGGATCCCATGGCCAAGAAACTGCATCCAAGCCTTACATCACCAAGTGCAATGCAAAGCGTCAGATGCAGAGGTGTAAATCATGCCACAACTGGAGTCTAGAGCAGTGGGGATGTGTTCTCTACTGTGACAAATCGCGAAGTCTGGGGTTGTTTTTCAGGAGCTGGGATCGGCATCTTAGTTCCAGTGAAAGGAACTCTTAATGCTTCAGCATACCAAGACATTTTGGACAATTTCATGCTCCCAACTTTGTTCGAATAGTTTGAGGATGCCCCCTTTCTGTTCCACCAGGACTGAACACCAGTGCACAAAGCAAGGTCCATAAAGACATGGATGAGCGGGGTTGGTGTGGAAGAACTTGACTGGCCTGCACAGCTTGATTGCAACATGATGGAAAATTTGTTTGTATTTATTAAACACAAGCTTCATTTTTTTCATACCATTCATTGGTAGCAATTAAACTGATATCTTCTTATTTTATTGCTTTCCTTTGTGGCTGTCAGCTGGTCACTGCTATTTTCTCTCTCTTATCATTTCCTTGTCTAGGCAAGACTGCCATTTTAAGTACATCATGTGGCTTTTGCATCATGTAGTCCTCAATTAATAAAAACAACAACAACCTGTAATGGCTGCTGCTTAAGTTAAATTTTAGTATAGACAGAACTCACAAAATCATTTCAGTAGGTGGTGGTGCTCTTAAAATATATATATGTGGAGACAATGACTATGGAGAAAGGTTTATGCAAAAATGTTCTCCCAGAAATGTAATAGTTGTTTGACCTAACTCTGGTTCTACCAGTATGTGCCAAGCTCTCTGACAGGCTTCAAAATAAATTGTTTGTAATAGCCAGATATCAGTCTGCAGCCAAACCTTGGATTTGTCCCTGTCTGTCACAAAAATGAGCAACCTATTGTAAAATGACTAAATTATCATGACGGAGTCCATAAATGAAGTCAGTATAGCAATATATTGACACAAGCTTGGTTATAAAAACATACAAAAGCATAGCTAATGCCAATGAATAAATGTGCCAAATGTTTAATATCCAATTAAACCAGATAATTATTTTCATTTTATTATTTAGTTTTTATTTCTTGTCATATTTTTTTTACATTCTAAATCCAATTTCTGAATATTCAGACAAATTTAAAGATTGTTGTTTTTTGACCTGGTCCATTTTTATGCTCTTATATTATCATGGTTGTGTGAAATGGGCTCAAAGATGACAATAATACTAATTATGATTTGCTATGTGATTTCTTTCAGCATTATATCAAACAAAAGTTTTATTATGCCAGGAAAAACAAGCATCAAGCCTGCATTATTATTTTTTAGCTGAGATACAGACTAAAGGGCATCTGCAACTTCAAGCTCGAAGTCAGTGAACTACAGTATTTGCTGTAAGTGCAATAGCAAATCACTGGATAGGACCAAAACTCCAATCCCCCCCTTTTTTGTCCCTGGTGGTTTGATTCCCCACAGATTCGTTGGCTGTTTTGTTCCCTGTGGATAATCCAGCCTTCATGTCTGTCCGTGTGTCTAGACACACACTCTTCTAGTCTCTGTAGCCTGTGAGGAGATTGTTAGTGTTATTATTATTAGTGTTTGTGAAGAAACATTAATAACCGTCTCACTCTCTCTCTCCCCCTTTCTCCACGCTAGGAGGATAAGCATCGGATTTAATTAACTGAAAGGGAGACCCTCCGCTAGCAGAGAATAGAATGACAGCGTGATGAATGTGAAGGGATAAGGAGGAGAGTCGCAATATGAGGACACTGTGTGATGAGTGTGCGATTCCAAAAGTAGCTCTACAGTACTTTGAATGTTTCTCTGGAGGCGTGTATATGTGTGTGAGTTTGTAAGAGCTTATCAGGAAACACGTTTGTGCTAGTAAACAAGGCAGCAAGGGCACAAGATAATGTAAGGAATGTCACAAGGCCGAGTGCAATGCATGTTTAAAAAAAAAAAGTGTCTACTTGTGGTATATATCACACGAGTGTGTGTTTGTGAAAGCATCGTGTTGGGATGATGGAGTCAGAAGATTTTAAAATGACGCATCTTGGTATTAGTCAGTGTGTTTACTGGCTACTTCTCTAAATATAGCTGTCTTACACACACACACACACACACACACACACACACACACACACACACACACACACACACACTGACACGCCCTGAGTTGAATGTGCAGCATGATGGTGAAAACTATTACAGCACCTTTGGGCAAACATCATACCCCTGCCCTGTGTCCGTGTGGGCAGTGCGGTGGATGGGTTCGCACACGCGCGCACACACACACACACACACACACACACACACACACACACACACACACACACACACGGACACGCATACAAAAGTGCAAGGGCAAAAATTAATACACAGGCACAAACATACAGTATTTGCAGGTGGCACAGAAAGAAAGACAGAAGCTCAATGTAGGCGCAAACATCACATCATCACCACAAGAATGAGCACCACAGGAAGCAACACTGTCTCAGTTAGACAAAAGCACATACACATGCACGGGTACACAAAAAACTTTTCGGTCCATGCTGTCAGAATGATGATATCCATTAATCATAATTGAACAGCTGAGTCCCTGCGCATGCATAAAACATGAAGCCAATTGTAACCAATAAATCCCCCACATATAGTAATTATTGCACACAACTGTGTTACCGGCTATCCATTCCACGTGCTCGTCTCATTGAGGGTCACGGGGTTACTGAAGCCTAGCTCCACTGACAGTGTGCAAGAGGTAGGGTACATACTGGACGGGTCAATGTGCTCACCATCCATCACAAACTAACAGACGCACACACGCAACCACTCACACCTAAAGCCAATTTATAATCACCAATTAACCCAACATGGACTGTGGGAGAAAGCTGCAGCATCCTGAGAAAACCCACGCAGGCACAGGAAGAAGACGCTAACCAATGCATCTCTATTAAAGCACCCACCTACATACTGTACAGTAACCACTGGTGTTCATAGAAGCATTAGTGTTTCAGTATTTTTCTTTTTCCCTTGAGTAGAAATCATTGTAATTAACAGAAGAAAAGATATTTCTTTTTTATACTAGCCCACGTTTCCATTTCTAAAAAAATCTACCCAATAGCTAGTGTTTTAATAGCGTTTAATAGTGTTTTAAATCTTTATAACTTTAACAAATAGAACATTTGGAAGAAAAGCATCTGGACTTCTTTAAGTTGCTTGAAGACGTTTCACCTCTCATCCGAGAAGCTTCTTCAGTTCTAGGGTCAAAAGGTGGAGAGTCCCAGATTTAAGCCCTATGGGAGTGTTTCCCCAAGAGGGATATGGACCCCCTATTGATCCACTACCTAATCACATGAGCCAAGGTGTGAAAACAGGTGTAGGTCACAATCAGCCAGGGTTTCGGGTGAACCCGCTGTGAAACCTAGCCCCACCCTAT